TCGGTGTGTGTAACGCATATGGAGACGGAGGCTGTTGCCTCCCAGATATCCGCCCAGTCTGTCGTGTCGGTCGGTGGACCCAGGTCTGTCTCCCACGCTGATATGTATGGGAGGGAGCGTTGTGTGGGGTGATTAGCTATGGTTGTGTACAGGTCTGAGATTTGACCTTTTCTGCTGGGGTGGGTCACGCATCCGCGTTCAAATTTGGTGAGTGGTGCTGTCCCCGCTTGTTTAATGCTTGGAATCGCTGCAAAGCTACGTAGTTGTATATACCGAAAGTGGTCAAATGTTGTGAGGGACGCGGAGTCTGGGATGTCTGAGAACTGGATAATGTCGTTGTCCCGATAGAGGTGTCCTATTCTAGCAATGTCTCTTTGTTCGAACTTGGCGAAGTGTTTGGGTGTGAGGCCCGGGGGGAACAGTTTGTTCCGCCAGATCGGGGTCATCGGGGAAAGGAAAGATGAGAGGTCATACTTATCTTTCGCTTTGTCCCACTGGTCAAGTGCGTGCGTGATCGCGGGTGCTGTCGGCGGTGGTAGGGGTCTGTGTGGCCTGGGTGTCCACATGTATAGGGACGGGTGGTCCCAGCCAAAGATCAGGTGTTCCAAATCCACCCATCTCTTCTCGCCCGGCTGTACGTGCCAGTGCTGTATCTGTGCTAAGTGTGCTGCTGTGTGGTAGTGTAAGAAGTTCGGTAGGCCTAGGCCTCCGGATTTCTTGGGGACATATAGCGTGCTCCTGCGTACCCTTGGTTTGCGTCCGTTCCATACGAACCTATCTATAGCCGTTTGAAGGGCCTTGAAATCTGGTTTGTGTAGAGGGATTGGGAGGGTTTGGAAAAGGTAGAGGAACCTAGGTAGAAGGTTCATCTTGATGGAGGTCACGCGTCCCATCCATGATATGCCCAGGGGTTTCCATGTGACCAAGTCCTCGTATGCTTTGAGTATTATGGGGGTGTAGTTCTTGGAGTATAGGGACGCGACGTTAGCTGTTAGTTGGATCCCGAGATAGGAAATAGCCGAGTGGCAGACCCGGAGAGGGAAGGTGAGGCAGATCCTATCTAGCGTTGTGGTGTCCATTTGGACAGGAAGCAGTTCCGATTTATTCAAGTTGAGCTTATATCCCGAAATTTCTGAGTATTCCTCCACAATGGCGAGGAAGGGCCCTAGGGAGCGTTCAGGGTTGGTCAGGGTCAGGAGGATGTCATCGGCGTATGCCGAAATTTTGAATATTTCCCCCCTGACCGTGATCCCCTCCACCCCCGCATTGGCGCGTACCGTCTGGAGAAGGGGCTCCAGGGAGAGGGCAAACAGCAGGGGTGACAGAGGGCACCCCTGTCGCGTGCCGTTAGTGATAGGGAAGCATGGGGGTGGGATATTAGGCAACAGGAGTGCCCCCTGGGGGTCGTGGTATACCGCTGTCAGGAACGAGGTGAATTCTGGTGGTAGTCCTATGTGTGTCAGAGTTTGGTGTAAGAACTGCCATGTAAGGCGATCGAAGGCCTTTTCGGCATCGAGCGATATGACTGCTGTTGGGATACGTCTATGGTTGGCGAGCCAAATGAGGTCAATGGCCCTCCGGGTGTTGTCCGCTGCCTGTCTCTGGGGTATAAAGCCCACCTGATCGGGGTGTATGAGTGATCCCAGGTGTGGATTTAGTCTGTTTGCCATGACCTTGGTCATGAGTTTGAGATCAACATTAAGCAGTGAGATCGGCCTATAGTGGGCAGGTTCAAGCTGGTCCTTTCCGGGTTTGGGGAGGAGGCAAATGTGAGCCCTTGTCATGTCTGGCGGGAGGGTTTCCCCCCTCAATGTGGCGTTGAATACTCTGCATAAGTGGGGTAGTAGGATAGGGCTAAATTCTTTGTAGTATATGGCCGAGTAGCCATCAGGGCCCGGGCTCTTGTTTGGCTTGAGAGGTCCGAGTGCCTGTGCCATCTCCTCCACCGTGACCTCCTGCCCTATCGCGGCCCTGGCCTCCTGGGTCATGGAGGGCAGGGTCGCTTTCTGCAGGAATGTGTCTATGCGAGTGCGTAGGGGCTCTGAATCGGTTTGGGAGTGTCGGGTATGGTTATATAGGTTGGTGTAGTAGTCCTGGAAAATGCTACCTATGTGAGTTGGGTCATTGCTAACGTCGCCTCCTGTGGTGCGTATGGCCGAGATCCGTTTGGACTCTATTCGGTGTTTGAGTCGGCGGGCCAGCATAGTGTCCGCCTTGTTCCCTTTTTCGTAGAACGTCCGTTTTAGCCACATCAGGGCCTTGGAGGTGTCTTGTTGTGTGAGGGTTTTGAGGAGGTCCCGGGTCGCTGTCAGTTTAGTTAGCGTGGTGGGGTTAGGGTTCTTTTTGTGTAGGGTTTCTAGGCGGCGGAGTTCCGTCATGGCGTCAGTGATTTGCTGTTGTGTGTGTCTTTTTTTATGGGTGGCCAGGCTAATGAGAGTGCCCCTGATGACCGCTTTATGGGCGGCCCATATCATGGCGGGCGCAGTGTCCGCCTGTGTGTTTAGGTCAAAGTACTCTTTCAGCTCGTTAGCTATTTTGTCGGTGATTGATTTGTCATGCAGGAGAAGAGGGTTCAGTCTCCATGACCATTGTCGATAAATCGACGGTAGAGCGAGGGTGATAGCTATTTCCGCATGATCGGACCATGATATAGAGCCGATTTCGGATTTAGTGATTTGTGGTACTAAGTTAGGGGTCACCAGGAAGTGGTCTATGCGTGAATACGTGCCATGCGGGTGGGAGTAGAACGTGTAATCTCTGGTTGACGGGTGTTGTGCCCTCCATATGTCTATCAGTTTTTGTGAGGCGAGAAATTGGTGGAATAGGGAATCATTCTGCGACGGGCGAGAACGTGCCGTGGCAGTAGAGGTCCTGTCGGCGGCTGGGGTGTGGACTGCGTTGCAATCCCCCCCGACCACGAGTCGCGCAGTCGAGTAAGTGTTGAGGTGTGTAGTCAGTTGTTGCCAGAATGAGGCGTCTGGTGTCGTAGGTGCGTAGATCGAGGAGAAGGCGTAGGTTGTAGTGCCCACTTTCCCCTGTATGGTTACGTAGCGTCCCTGCGGGTCCCTGTTGCATACCACGTCTGAGAGGGGGCAGTTGGCTCTCAGAATAATGGCTACTCCCTTCGTTTTGGAGTCTGGGGAAGGGGCCATATAGCTCTTCGGGTAATGTCTGTTGGTGAGGGGGAAAGCGCGTTGGGCCGTGAAGTGGGTTTCTTGTATAAGTAGGATGTCTATGTTTTGTTTGTGAGCCCATCTTAGTATGCCATGTCTCTTGGCGGGGGAGTTCAGCCCTTTTGCGTTAATAGATACGCACCGTACGTTTACAGGCATGGTGTCTTTGGTCTATCGCTAGGACTCTGGGGTGGGGAGTGTGAGAAGGTTGGGGGCCGCGCTCCCGGGCGGTCCAAGGCCACGGGGATGGGGAGAGGGTAAGTGGGTGTTGGGGTTCTTGTCTATGGGAAAGGCGGGGTTCGTGAGGGTTTTGGGGGTGAGGGTTGAATGTTAGGAGGGGTGATCCGCTGGGCTTATATTGTTGCCAGCAGTATGCGGGGTGAGCGTCTATCCGCTCAGTGGGTGTTCGTACCCTAGTGGTGTCGTGTCGTCAGGGGTTGGCAATCTCTCTAGCAGAGTTGCCGGCAGGCAATGTGAGTATTGAATCGTATACGTTGGTAGGTGGTGGTCGGTCCAAGTAGTGATTGTGACAGTCATGTCTATCGTTCCTCACCTCGTATGAAGGTGTAGGCGTGTAGGGTCAGTGCGTCCGTGCCGCCAGGGTCTGGGGATGTGTTTGTAGCGTATGCTTAACGTTCGCTAGCTCCCTTGTCTGTGTCGCGTCCGGTGTGTCAGTGGGTGCCTTTCATGGTGTGGTCGTGGCCGGGTCCAAAGGAGAGATGATGTTACAACAAAAGAAAATGAGACATTTAGAAAAAATATACATAACATGCAGAACAGTGACAGACATTGCTGCAACAATATGAGTGTACCATAATATGAATTGTCTTTGTGCTCTGGAAGTTAGAGTGCCTCCAGTGATCTGTTGAGGCAGGGGGAAAGGTGCCCGGGGGCGTCCAGTACAGGGTGCCCCGTGTTCGTGCGTTGAGTGGCTTAGTTACGTGGTCCCCCCCCAGGGGTCACCCCCCTACATTATTTTGGCTCGATGTTTGTCTGGAGATAGGCTTGCCCGTCAGTCCAGGATCAGTGGTCTGCGTTGAATGTATGGGCTCGAGTGCAGTAGCATATCTGTGTCTGCATGTGTTTTTTTTTTTGTTGTTTATCCCATTTTTAGTGTGTTTTTTTTTTTTCTATTTTCTTTTCACCCTCCCTTTGGTAGTTCCCTTTGTGTAATTGGCGGGGTGGGGGAGGGGGTCCCCTATAGTGTGAGACTTCTTGCGCATCTTTCCCGATGGGGTGCTTTCCATATGGCTGGGGCCTAGGGACTTTAGTGTGGTGGGAGGGTGTGGGGTTCACTGGCTCCCCAGGGAAGGGCCCGATTCCGTCTGTGTGCTATGTTGTCTGGGGGGCTCTGCTTGTATGGGTTCCCGGGGTGTCTGCCTACAGGCAGATGTCAGTTGCCGGGGTCAACTGGGCGTGTTTCCCACTATCTGTCTAGTGTCCCCCCCCCCGCTTTGATGTCCAGAAACGGGGTTGGCAGCCTGTGTCCCCTGTGGGGGCAGTAGTTTGTGTTTGGCTCCTTTGGGGAGTGTAAGATTAGCGGGGTCCCATGGTTTCTGTGGCCAGCTGAAGTGGGTTCATCTGGGGGTCTAGTGGTAGGATCACTAGCGGCTGGGCCCGGGGGTCCCGGTGGTGCGTGTGTGGTGTTTTTTTTTGGTTTTTTTTTTGTTGTTTTTGTTTTTTTCCCCGTGTTTTCTTTGTGTTTTCCCTCCCTCCTCCTCCCCCCCCCTGTTTTATCCCCCCTCCCCCCACGTGATTTCCCATGCCATATTTGGCTGTAAATGTAGGGCTAAAGCTTAGAGTTAAAACATGCAACGTAAGGTTGCCACATAATTAGTCCTGTTTAGGGTAGAGTCATAGCTTATCTGGTTCCGGGCGACCTGTGGTCAGATAGTTCGTGTTCTCCTGGCGTGCGATGCCGTGGGTCCGGTAGTCTGTGAGGTGTGTTTGCGGTTGTCCTGGCGGCGTGGAATCGGTGAGGGTCGTGTGGAAGGTGACGGTCCATGTCGTAGAGGTGCGGTCATCTGTACGTCTTTAGGTGGCCGGTTGAGGGTGAGGACTGCTGGGAGGTGGAGCCCTTGTCGGGTGCAGTGTCGGGCCCCTTGGAGACAGTCTTCCTGCTGGGCGTCTATCAGGCTGTTCGGCGGTGAGGTCGATGGCCGGAAGGCCCAGGCGTTCCGCGAATGCTGTGGCTTCGGAGATATGGTACAGAGTGTGTACCCGGTTGTTTTGTCTCACTTGTAGCTTGAAGGGGTGGCCCCATGTGTATCTTATGTGTCTCCTGGCCAGCTCCAAGGTTAGGGGTCTGAGTTCCCTTCTCTTGCGTAGCGTGCTTGGAGCTAAATCTTGATAAAAGCAGACTTGATGCCCCTCTATTTGGAGTGGGTTATCTCTCGCCGCTCGCATCAGCGCTTCTTTTATATGGAAATAGTGCATGCGGATGATGATGTCCCTGGGCTGGGTTGCGTTCGGGAGGGGTGCTTTAAGGGCCCTGTGGGCTCTGTCTAGTAGGAGCTCGGCCGGTGAGGCCTCTGGGAGTAGGCTGCAGAAAAGCTCTCTCAAAGTGGGGGCCAGCATGTCTATTCCAACCGTCTCTGGCACCCCGCGAATTCGTATATTGTTGCGGCGGGAACGGTTGTTGAGGTCCTCTTGGGCCTCCTCCAGCAGGCGTACCTGGTCTTGTAGTGCTGAGATGGCGGTTTCGTTTGTCTGTGCCTGCATGGAGGTGCGGTCCAGCTGGTCTTCAATGGCAGTAGTTCTGCGTGTGAGGTCATTTAGGCTTTCAGTGATGGGAGTCAGGTGTCTGGAAAACTCTGCAGCCATGTTGGTTTTGATCTCCTGCAGCAGGTGCCTGAGGTCAGCTTTTGTAAGTGGTGCTGCGGCTGCCGTGCGGCTGGTGTCACTTGCCGCCGAATCTGAGTCCTCCTCGCGGCCATCTTCCCCACGTGAGCTCTCCTCCCTGCGGGCGCGAAAGATTGGCGCTACCTCCGCGCCATGCTTAGTCTTGCGCCCCCCTCCCATGTCGGGTCGGTGGAGTGCCGTGGCCGGGATGCTGGGGACCGGGTGTGCTGCCCGTTCGTCGGGTATACGTGCCGGTAATGTTGTGCCTGCCGGTACGGAGCTCTAGCAGAGAGCAGCCATCCGCACCGGAAGTCAGGCGCCGCCCCCGACATGGAGGAATTTTACCAAGACGAATAGGCAGCTATAACACCTACAAGAATTTGGGGCCTCATAGACAACTATTAGAAAAGACTGCAAGCTGTCATTGATTATAAAGGGTGCAATACACAGTATTAATAACTAAGGGTATGCAGACTTTTGAACAGGGGTCATTTCATTTTTTTCTTTGTTGCCATGTTTTGTTTTATGATTGTGCCATTCTGTTATAAACAGTTGAATATGAATCCCATAAGAAATAAAAGAAATGTGTTTTGCCTGCTCACTCATGTTTTCTTTAAAAATGGTACATATATTACCAATTCTCCAAGGGAATGCAAACTTTTGAGCACAACTGTATGTATATATGTGTACCTGAGTGTATGCGTGTACCTGTCAGTATGTGTGTCTGACTGTATCTGTGCGTCAATGTGCACCTGAGTGTATGTGTATGTGTGTGTGTATATTTGTATGTGTATCTTTGTGTGTATGTGTATCTGTCAGTGTGTCTGTCTGTGGTGTGTATGTTTGTATCTGTACATCAGTGTGCACCTGTTTGTGTGTGTGTAGCTATGTGTCAGTGTGTAACTGTGTGTGTATCTGTGTGTCTGTGTATTTACATGTATGTCAGAGTGTGTCTTTGTATCTGTATGATCTGTATGTATGTGTATCTGTGTGTGCCAGTGTGTGTATATGTGTGTCTATTTGTATCTGTGTGTCAGTGTGCATCTGAGTGTATGTGTGTGTATCTGTTTGTGTAACTGTGTCATCGTGTGTATCTGTGTGTCTGTATCTGTGTATTTGCATGTATGTTAGTGTGTGTGTCTGTGTCTGTGTATCTTTATGTGTGTTTGTGTATCAGTGTGTGTGTGTGTGCATTCTGGTATGACAGATGGGGATCTACATTTTGGCCACTTTACACACACTGCATTTACTACACAAACACATACATTGCATTCACTACAGAAACACACTGCATTCACTACACACATTTTGCATCCATTCTACGCACACACTGCATCCTTGTGGATAGATTCAGAAGCCCCCGTGGGCCTACTCAGGTGTGGGCCCTGGAGGCCCAGACATTGAGTTTTGTAAGGGGCTCCAAGATTTCTGATGGCAGCACTGGTGCACACAAAGGCAGGACCACCTCTGTATTCATAAGCTATTTATATTCTAAGATTTTGTTCAGGGGGGAATACAGAAGAGAAACTTTGGGGGGTCAAAGGTAGTGATATCAAGTTTACAAAGCATAAATCATACATAGGTTTTTATGATATTCATACGTTTCAGTCCATCGTTGCTTTCAGGTTGTTGGTGTGTAGGGTCAGAGGTTGGGGGGGGGGTGTCATCATTTGCGAACCGTTGTGGTGTTAGGGCAAAACCTCTGTGTGCTTGGTCTTAGTTGGAGTTACCCCTGGTGGTTTGTTGTTTGCATGAGGGCTGGGGTGCCTCCCCAGGTTATGTGTGTTTTCACAGTGGGTGGTCTTGAAGCGAGATGTGAATTGTTGAATAAGGTATGTCTTTAGGGTAGGTCTTCCTTCGGTGTTCTGGTTTTGCCTCGTGGTTTGGTGTCATGTGTGGCCGTTTTGTAGTCAGTTAGTGTGTGCATGGTGGGTTTGTGTGTGTGTAATATGTTGGGTCATTCTTATCTGTTGGTGTTCGTCTATGGGTGTTCGGTGGGGTCCCTGCCGTGGACGGGTCGGCACGGGTTTGAGTATGTGCATTGTGGGTATGGGGGGTTTTGGGTGTGGGTCCTGAGTGATGGGGGTCAGGTATTGAGAGAGGTAGTGTGTGTGGGGGTTCTACTGGGCGGTCGCCCACCCCCACCCCGCCCCCTACACCCCGAGTAGGTGCCTTGTGATCCAGGGATCTCAGATTTTGTGGAAGTGTTTTGTCCATTTTCATGGTTTCTGTGGTTTTCTGGATCATTATCTTTAGTGTGGGTGTGGTTTGGTTGCCCCATTGTTCTGCTATTGTGCGTCTAGTGGCTAGTGCTAGTTTCGCCACCAGTTTGTTTTGTGCCTTTGCTAGTGTGGGATGGGGCTTAGATAGGAGCCATATCCATGGGTCCAGGGGTATATCTTCGTGTAGTATTCTAGAAGTGAGGCTAGCGACCTTGGTCCAGATTTGAGAGCTATGTGGACATTGCCACCACATGTGGATGTAGGTCCCTTGCTGTCCACATCCTTTCCAGCAGGTGCCTGTGGTAGCTATCTTCATTTGTTTTAGTCTCAAAGGTGTCAAGTACCATCCAGGGCCGTCTTTAATAACGAATGGACCCTGGGCAAGTGTTTGCTTGGGCCCCCTGTGCCCTGCCGCTCTCGCCCCTCACTCCCTGGTATGCAATCACGGCATCCATCCCAACGTAGTGGCGGTACTAAAGTAGAATTAATTTTATTGGGACCCCCAATTGCAAGGTTGGACTAAAGGTAGAACCCCATCTGTCGTGCAACTCCAACAATGCTTTGACAGCTGGGACTCTACCAATTTGCCATGCTTGCAGGGTTGTATTTAGCACTGAGCCATGTTAGTATGTTTGAATGTAAGCATGTGTTTGTATGGAGTATGTTTGTGTGAATGTGTTTGTATGTGGTACTGGAGTTTGTGTGCATTTATGTGTAGTGTTTGTTTTTGAATGTAGGAGTGTGCTTGTATGTAGTGTTGACGTTTCAATGCAGGAGTGCGTTTTATATGTAGTGTTGAAGTTTGAATGGAGGGGTGTATTTGTATTTAAAGTTGCGGCTCAGATGCACAGGTACACACTCTGACGCACAAGCAGATACACAGATACATACACTGACTACATACAGATAAACAGGCACATACACTGACAGACACACTGACACAGGTACATATATTGACACACACACAGACACATACACTGGTAGACGTACTGACAGACATACTGACACAGGCACATATACAGACATACTGACACACAGACACATATACCGACATACTGACACACACACACAGACACATACACTGATCAACATACTGACACACATACACTGACAGAAATACTGACACCCCACATACACTGAGAAATACTGACACACACACACATACACTGACACACACAGACTGATATACTGACACACACACACACAGACATACTGGCACACAGACAGATATACTGACACATGCATACACATGCACTAACAGACATACTGGCGCACTGACAGACATACTGACACATACACATACTGACACACACAGATATACACACACATATATACTGACACACAGACAGACAGACATACTGACACACACACACAGACATGCTGACACACACACATACACTAACACACAGATACACTAACACACACACACACTAACACACACACACTAACACACAAAAACACACACATACATACACTAACACACACACACTAACACACACATACACTAACACACAAACACATACATTAACACACACACACTAACACACACATACACTAACACACACACACACACATACACTAACACACACACACTAACACACACATACACTAACACACAAAAACACACACATACATACACTAACACACACACACTAACACACACATACACTAACACACAAACACATACACTAACACACACACACTAACACACACATACACTAACACACACACACATACACACACTAACACACACATACACTAACACACACATACACACATTTTTTTTTTAAAATGTAATCCCCCCAGCCTCCTTACCTTGTGGAGTGCTGGGGGGATTCCCTGGGGTCCAGTGGTGCTGCTGACTCCGGCGGGCGGGTGGCCGGTCGGGCAGGAAGGCGGGCGCGCGAGGGAGCACTCAGTGCTTCCTCTTCAGCTCCCTCGCGCGCCGCGTAGGGATGCCGGCGCCGGAAGATGGCGTCATCTTCCGGCTCCGGCATCAGTGCGGTGCGCGAGGGAGCTGAAGAGGAAGCACTGAGTGCCCCCTCGCGCGCCCGCCTTCCTGCCCGACCGGCCACCCGCCCGCCGGGGTCAGCGGGGCCCACGGGGCAGGTGCCTCGGGCCCCCCAAGAGAAACTGGGCCCGGGGCAGCTGCCCCGTTTGCCCCGCGTTAAAGACGGCCCTGGTACCATCTGAGCATTGTTTTATATGCCTGTTCTTTGTGGTTTATGCATATTGCGAGGGAGGCTGTAGCTTCCCAGATGTCTACCCAGTCCGAGGGGTCCTCTAAGGGGTCTATGTCTCTTTCCCATGCTCTCGTGTAGGTGAGTGCATTTGTTGGGGAGTTGGAGTTCAGGTGGGAGTAGATTGTCGAGATCTGTCCCTTGTGAATGGGGGATTGTAGGCACATTTTTTTCAAAATGGGTGAGTTTTTTGTTGGCTGTCTCTATGTTTCTGGTTGTGGAAAAAGTTCATGTATCTTATCAGTACGTTATCCTCGTATCGTGACAAATCTTGGGGTGACATGCTGGGGGGGGGGTAGCGTTTGTTTCTCAGGATTGGTGTGAGCGG